GCAGTCATAATATCGGTGCTGGTTCGAACAGCACACTCGCCTATGGTTCCGGTGGTAGAACAAGTCTTCTCAGATAAGGACTCTAAACTGTAAGTCCAGTGTACACAATTGGCTCGTGTGCCCTTAAAATACGGTAACCCAGTACATCCTGGTGAAAGAGTAAGTCCGGCCACAGAAGGAGCGTTTACGTCGCGGCCCATGTCAGGTATCCTACCTGCAAACATTCACACTACGTATGTAAGATCATACACATTAGTTGCGTAGTGACTCGAAAAGAATATCTTCTCCATCATCCCCATGATGATAAATGATGATGATGATCATCATCATTATAATTATCAACATTTATCATCATCATCATCATCATCGTCATCATCATCATCATAAACAACTGCCATTCAACAAACATTGTCAGTGGTATTACCACATTTTATTTGATAAAGTAAAATATAGGTAAAGTATAAAAAGTATCTATATAATTATATTAATAGTATTGTGTTACTATTTACAGCAAAAAATGTATTTACGTAATTTGGTATAGTTGTACCGAATGTCAGAATATGTGGGGAGGCAAAAACCAAAAGATATAACTAATAAGACTTCTAATCGATTAGGTCGAAACCTAAATGACGTCAAGCCTAAAGACATCAATGGATTTTTGAGTGAGCGCTTGACAACGTGTCGTTAAAATGCCTCCCTTTCCCCCGTATCGCCGCAACTGGTTATGACATAACAATTTAATATGTCAACCGATGATAATGAAGTCAACGGTTCAAATTTAAATAGGTATAGGCCTAATCATCGGTATATTTACTCATATCACATAAGGCTAGTACTATGCTTCAAATGTATAAACTCACACCCTTTAATGTTAATTTTCGTGTTTTGGCCCTTTCCCAAATCTAATTCAAATCTCACCATATATATTATTATTAAAAGAACAAGATATAAAATATATGAAAATTGCTTACAATACTTATAGAAACATTGACTTTTGGTAAGAGTAGTTTTTACATTGACATAATTTAAAACACTAAATAGATACCTAGATGTAAAATCGTGTATTATTATAATATTCCTACTCCCTGTCTTCGATCCTTCTTCTTTGAGCACACTTTTACCATTCCCTTACAGTTATCATGTAGATACACGAATCCATCCAATTGTTCACTCCCATCCTTGGAGTATCTTTAGTTAGTAAGTATACACAAGTTTTCAACGTGGTTTCCAAACAACACACACATTGTCAACGCATTCCTCGTAAGAAAACCACATTTGAACTGCATTAAATTTATGAAACTAACGAAATACAGTAGAAAACTGGCATCATTTATTGCTGAGATAAAATCCCAACTAATCAAAATCATACTGTCGCCATAATTGTTTCGAGGAATGTGATTTGTTTTGTAATCTTTACACAAGCGGGAATGTCTGCTTTACTTCTTCATAATGGTGATAGTCACCTAATATTTACAAGTCATTGGTTTTATTTTTTCGCTTCAACATTTTGATGTGTTGAGAAGAAAAGACGAAGTGGCAGCATTCGGGTTGATGTCATCGTCTGTATTGATATCTACGTAGGTAAAGCCCTCGTTATTTTCAACATTCACATACGTCTGTGGAGTTAACAAAACAACTAATTACAAAAAAATAAGAAATAAAGTAAAATTCTATAAAACACAAATGTATCCTTTTTACTGCAAAGTATTGATATTTGGTAAAAAAAGTCGTTGATGTGGGTTAGAGTTAAGTCACAAAGTGCTGATTATCAACACTGGTGTTGCAATATTGGTATACAGGTGTGTGTGTGGGTGTGTGGGTGGAGTGTGGGGGTGGAGTGTGGGGGGGTGTGTGGAGGAGTGAATTTCACTAGAAAGGGTTGTTCGAAATGACACAATGAAAGACTGCTTAAATGAAAAATTAGTCAGGCTAAATCCTCCAATTGTATTTTTGTCGTATTATATAAAAAAGAAATATACTAGCAATCTATCGGATCAGAGGCATATAAAGGAGAATTTTAATTCAATAGACAATTTGATAAATATAGTAAAAAATAATTAAATTAAAAATCGCTAGCACTTTCTCGCAAAACTCCCGCTATATATTTCTTTGTATATAAATATGACGCTATATTCTTATTTAAAAAAGAATATATAAGAAATCCGGTATAGGACTAAAATATAAATCATTCGGATATCGAAATCGACCAATCTCAAAACATAAATTCACATAAGTATCTTAGGCCTAATAAATATAACTCACTGCTGTGGTTTTTACGTAAACTTCCTCACTTCTTGATAGACCGAAATCCGTCACCTTAGCCACGATCTGGCCACAGTCAGCACTGCATAGTAGAATATTTCTTGCAGCCAAGTCGCGATGTACACACTAAATCGAAATAACAAAATAGTATAACACGTCAGATAGGGCAAATCATCACACCTATGATATTTCCTGACGCAAACTCACATACTAATAGCACTTGTAGTACCCGCTGCTACTATGGGATCGGATTCATCACTATTCAACAAGCACAAGCTCTATGGTTTAGTGGTTAAGACATCAGACTAGAAACTTGGAGGTCGTGTGTTCGATTCCCAACCGAATCACTTGGGAATTTGTTTCGCTAATTTTGGGACATTTGAGTATTCGGTACGATAACACGTCAGGTAGGGCAAATCATCACTATGATATTTCCTGCTGCAAACTCACATCCTAATAGCACTTGCCGTACACGCTGCTACAATGGGGATCTGACTCATCACCAGTCACTAAGAGCAAGTTCGGTGGTCTAGTGGTTAATACATCAGGCTAGATACCTGGCGGTCGTGGGTTCGATTCCCACCCGAATCACTTGCGAATTTTGTTGCTAGTACTTGGGTATGTACTGAGTATTCGGTACGATAATACGCCAGGCTGGGTCATTCCAAGACTAACATCTGCTGCGATCTGGAGCAGGTTCTCGGATGAAAGAGTCGAAGCTAAGTTTATTTTATTTGCGTAAGTTGGGTCAGTTTCCAGACATCAACTTCTCCGTAAGTAGTTTAGCAAGTTTCCATATTCTGCAAATTCTGTGGCCACGTACAATATTCCTATGGAATAGCATGTGAATTTAGATTCAAATAATTACACATCTATTGCATAAAACGAAATTGATTTGACTTAATATTAACAAAACAATAAAATAATATATAAAACACATCAGTAATACTTTCAATTTTCAATATGAGCAAATTATTAGCTAAATATGCTTACTATTTAATTTATTTCAAGACTGTATAAAGTACGGTACTAATTATATTATTGTTTGTTTAATAAAAAAAAAACAAACATAAAGACCAAATAATAACGCGGTCGACGAAAGTAAGGTAGGCTAAAATAGGCTTAGTATTAAAATAATTTATGTGGCATATCATAATGTTATTTAATACGGGTATACAATTCAAAATATACAATATCTTGGAGAGGTGAGTCTTAAGCTTCTCTATTTTTATATTCTCATAAATCGAGATTTCAATTAAAATACCAAAAAAAAAATCATAAAAATTTCAAAATAACTTAAAAATTATCAATAAATTAGTGTAGGCCTATTTTAAAAATGTTTTCCATAATATTTACAGTCATGGAAGTGGTTTATTTCTATTATTATCATTATCTTGTATAAAAACCAGTGTAAAAATTGTTCAAGATAATCATTATTAATTTTTTATTGTTATTTTTAAAAGGTCTTCAAATTCCAGTTATAGATGGTAATGTATACTTTGTATTTACATTAACTAAATGTAGGCCTACTTTGTGTTAACCAACCTCGGCATCGCCAAAATAATCTTTCTTTTAGGGCCCACAGAGTCTGTATCATTATGATTATTATTATTATTATTACTCACTAATATCAACCGACCTAATAGTAGTTAAATACAAAAATACACTCCGGAAGACATTGAACCGTTGCCAATATGTCAATGACTTTCTCGAAACAATAAATGATGGATAAACCATATCTTGATTCATTTCTGACATTTGAACTAAACTAACCTTGATATTCTGATGCTCCAATAAGGTTGACAATATTTGGATGGTAGCTTACGGTACTTTTGCTATTATCATCAGCTCTCCGAAGAAATCTCGCCTGTCATTTTCGGTCGCACCTTCTGCAAAGGTTGAAAGTGGTAGAATCTCCACGGTTTAATAAATTGGTACAGATTAGCATTATTGGGGAACGTAAGCCCAGGGCCCTCCGTGAATCTTGCTGTACCCTGGAGAGAACACTTCACGGCCACCAAAGTCAAATATTACCGTGCCATATTGTGTGATCATAACAGACACCCATAATCTGGTATTAAAATAGTATTAGGCCTATCATTTTTTGACGATATACATTACTTTCGTACCATATCTGGTCTGCTATCTTATTTATAGTCCAAATATAATGCATATTTTACCAGTCTATTAATTGATATTGTTACCTTATATTTTTACCTAGTTATTATTTCTGTTTATTTTTTTATGAGCGGACCCTTTGAATTGTAATTTTAAAATTCTTTATCAATGACAAATATATATTATTCTGAATACTGAATACTGTCTGTACAGTACCTTTCAACATTTTTACAGCTGCCTGTATTGCAGTTCCTTCCTTCTTTACCACTCCTTTCATAACTTGACCAAAGTTTCCTTCAGCAATCAAAAAGTTCTCCAGTATCATATTTTCCCAAGGGATCTTGTAGAACTCTGCCTTGGGTTATAGTATCGGTAACGGGCTTTTGCATGTTGGTGACATTGGACCTGGTGATAGGGGCGGTGACCCCGTACTTGAAAATGTAAACATACCAGGGATGACAGTTCCCGGGAAGCGTTGTGCCACCACAGTTTCGTGTTGTGTTCGTTGGATAGCGATCTTTCTCTCAATAGCTTTAGAAATAGAGAATAATAATACGTTTGTTGTAGTAGAAAATTATACATATTGGAATTGCGCCATATTATTTTACTTACTTACTTACTTAATCCTCTTCATGCTCATAAGCACATAAGGCAACAAATGATTTCCATTGTCCTCTATCCTGGGCCATCCATGATATTTCATTGATTGTTTTTGACATATGTTTTCTTTCTTCTTCCACCGTTCGTCTCCATGTCCCCTTTGGCCTTCCTCTTTTTCTTTTCCCCATTGGTTTCCATCTTTCTGCCTGTCTTGGATGACCATCATTTTTCAGTCTAAGCACATGACCTAACCAGTTCCACCTCCTCTTCCGAATCTCCTCGTTTATATCATTTATTTGGGTTTTTCTTCTAATTTCCATGTTTGTTACCCGATCTGGCCACCTGATGTTTAGGATCCTTCTCAGGCACCTCCCTTCAAAACCTCTTAATCTTGATTCAACTTTTCGATTTGTTCTCCAACTGCCTGCTGCATACAAAAGGACTGACCTGACATTACTTGAATAAATTTTTAGCTTCGTCTTTAACATGATATGTTTTGCTTTCCAAATTTTGTTTAGCATTTTGAAGGCATTTGAAGTCCAATTCTTCTTTGTATTTCTGTTTCGATATCTCCGTTACTGTTGAGATTGCTTCCCAAATAAATGAAGTTGTCAGTTTGTTGGATTTTGTTTTCGATGACTATTTCTTTTTCCATTTTCAGGTTGATTTTCATTATCTTTGTCTTTTTCTTGTTTATTTTAAGGCCAATACTTCTGGCTTGCTTTACTACTCTATCTGTCTTTCTTTGCATTTGTGCTTGATTTGCACTAATCAGACATATATCGTCGGCAAAGTCTAGGTCCTCTAGTTGTCTAGTGAGTGTCCATGGTATGCCTTCCTTTTCTCTTAGAGTAGCCATCTTCATTGTCCAATCAATTGCAAGCAGAAAGAGGAAATGAGATAGCATGCATCCTTGTCTGACACCAGTTGTTACTTCAAATTTGTCAGTTGTCTTGCCCTCATGTAAAACACAGCAGATATACCCACTGTACATCTTTTTGAATATGGTTATTAGTTTTTTTGGAATTCCGTAAAGTGAAATTATTTTCCAGAGTGTCTCCCTGTGTTCACTGTCAAAGACTTTTTCAAAATCTATGAAATTCAGGTGAAGGCTGCTGTTCCACTCTATGCTCTGTTCAATTATGGTTCTGAGAGTGAATATATGATCCATGCATCCTCGTCCTTTCCTGAAGCCGGCTTGTTCTTCTCTTACTACTCTTTCCAAATGATGTTTTCATTCTTTCTAGTATGATTCTGCTGAAAATCTTTCCTGGTATAGAAAGCAGAGTTATGCCTATCCAGTTGTTACAATCTAAACTATCCCCCTTTTTTTTGTATTTTTACAATAATTCCAGACTTCCAGTCTTCTGGTACTTCTTCTTCTTCCCAAATTCTATTTAATAGCTTTCTTAATGCTTTAGAACTGACGTCTATGCTGGCCTTGATCATCTCACCTGTAATTTTGTCCTCTCCAGGTGCTTTCCAGTTTTTGGTCTTTTGGATTGCTTGTTTGACTTCACTTAAGGTTATCTGTCCCATATTCATTTCAAAAGGGTGGTTCTGCATATCTAGGTTAATGATTGCCTCTTCGATTGGTGGTTCTCTATTTAATACCTCCTGAAAATGTTCTTTCCACCTCTTTGACACCTCTTCTTGTTTTGTAATTCTTGTTCCGTCTTTTCATTTTACAGTTGAAGACGAATTTATTTGGTACGATCCTATGAGAGATTTTGTAATTTTGTATAATGT